CCTAAATGAGTGACCGGATTGGAATACCAGTTTCTGAAAGCTTGGATGTGCGAGTGATGTAATGGATAATGGCTCGGATTTGTTACTTGGAGAGCCGAGTTCCAGTTTGGGTTGGTATTTTTTATACACACTTCGGTACAAATACCCTTGAGAAAGGCATGGATCCACATCTTCTTCTCTTTAGCTATGAGTTAGTAAGACTTGTATCACTAAACTGTTTTTATCTCCAAAACGAAATCCTTACAACCTAATAGTATTTCCAGGCTTTAAATAACATTCAATGGGTTGATAAGCTGGGGAGAACGAACCAATGCATAAATATTTGTTTTTCTTTGTCAATTTAACAGGCATTAAGCATAACAGATATATTGAAGCCATGCGGAAATAAGATGAACGCGTATTAGAATTGAAGCAAAACTTGAATATCGTTAGCAAATATTTTTTTAAGATGTATGTGTAGATCATTGACCCAAGAAATTGTCAATTCAGATTAAAATATAAATTACAGATAAATATCCGAAGAAGAGGAAAAACTGGAGATGTAAATTGTTAATAATCGAAAAGAAAGAATATTTTCATTTGTTTCCCAGACACATTCATCGACAAAGCACAGATTCCTCTAAAATCCATGTGTGTACGATCAACTGCGTATCTCTCTTTGTTTGCTTACTTGCATTTCTGTGTCTGTCTGGGTGTGCACGCTTATGTTTGCGTGTGTGTGCGTTTATGCGTGTGTGCGCGTGCCCGTATCTGTGTTTGTGCGTTTATCTGTAAGTGTGTGTGCGCGCTTATATGTGTGTTTCCCCTTAGTTGTGTCTGCTTGTGTACTATTGTTCTCGTTCTGCTTTTAGAAACACGTTCCGACATCACAAAAAACGGCGATCCGTTACGAAAGTGGGCCCGAAATATCTCTTGTAGCATCACGTTCGTTAGTACAACGGACAGGTTGAGACACGATCCTTTTCCCAGCGTCCTGATATCTACTCACACGCTTACGCAGATGTCCAGGAAATATTTTCAACTAATTTAAATTGATTAGACTAATTGAATAAAAAAAAAGTCATTGAAAGCAAAAAAATGAAATAAATACTGAAAAAGGAACCCGAAATCTGTAGTGGGGGAGAAGAAACAGGTGAGGAATTTTAAAAAATGCTAGCATTTCATCTATATTTTCAAGATTATTTCAAACCTACTTAATCAATCCTCTTCTGATCCACCCTCTCTCTCCTCTCTCTCTCTCTCTCTCTCTCTCTCTATATATATATATATATATATATATATATATATATATATATATATATATATATATATGCACACATATATATATGTATAGATATATATATATATATGTATATATATATATATATATATATATATATATATATATATATATATATACGTATATATATGCACATGTGTGTGTTTGTTGGTGCGTGCGCTCGCGCGTGTGTCTTTGTATATGTTTATATAAGCTAAATAACACAGAAGAATATGTCAAAAGAGTATCTATGTAAAATCTGATTAAGAATTTAAAAAAGTGCTTAATATCAGTGTAATATCTATATCTAGCTAGCTAGCTATTTATGTGTGTTTGTGTGTGTGTGCATATATTCGTAGGTAAATTGTTGTCTGAATTACGCAAAAATGAAAATAACATTAACATCTCATTTTAACATATATATATATATATATATATATATATATATATATATATATATATATATATATATAAAATTACACAAAAATATTTTGAAATACTAAAGCGAAAATTTATTTAATTAAATCGTTCTTGGCTTCGACCACGGCCTTCAGACGACTTCAGAATGTCCTGCATCTCTTATGGACGATCTTCTTGTTTAAGTTGGGGAATGCTGCCATAAACCTCGCCTTCAGTTCATCATTACTATTAAATGGAGTTACCTTGGTCTCTCGCTCATCTGAGTTCTACACATTATAATCAATGGGTTGCACTCTGAAGAATTAGGTGGTCAAATGTAAAGTGTGATGTGGTTGCATAAAAATTGTCTGACAGCGACAACTGGGTTCTCCTCACTATTTGGCTTGGTGCAGATTCCTGTTGCCAGACATAATGTCTTCCAGCATCCCCTTTCTTGACATAGAACAGTTCTATCTCCCCAAACCATTTGTTTTAGGTCTACGTGTTGAGTCTTAGTCCCTCATCAACAAATTCGGGAGTGAGATTTCCGAGCTGTACCTACGTAATCTTCTTTCCGAATCCTCTGAACTGTATTCCAATTGACGCACAAACACTCTAAAATGTTCGTATTGGAGCTTCCTGTGTGAATGCCAAGCAGTACAGTAAGACATTTCCAAATTTCTGTTGGAGTCAATTGCGTCATGGTACTCTTTTTTCTCACAGACGGTGCCCAACTGACACTTCTATACTTTAAATTAAACAAAATTAAAAAACAAACAAAAAAAAATAATTTATCCTACGCACTCTGTACAGAAAATATAATCGCTTGATTCTATTATTTACGATATTTAAGTTGCCCTTTCAAATCAGTTATATTTCCAAGTTTTTCAAAATACTACTTACATTCTGAGTGCATATATTCATTAAAAAAATTCTAGAACAGAAATTAAAAACATATTTAGTCATCAAACATTTTCATTTCTACTGGATAAACTCAGGTTGTTACCCCCGAAAAGGCCTTAATATTAGGTTGGGGCAAAATAATGACGTAATAATGTCGTTTTTGACGTATTTTTTAACGTCAAAAAACGACATTATTGCGTCATTATTTTTGCCCCAACCTAATAGTAGAAAGCTTCGCTTAGCATAGCAAGAAGCCAGAGAGCAAGTTGGAGTAACGTGTGTATATATACAAAATTTAAAGTTTGTTACGTGCACTGACGTTTACATCCTGAAACGTAGTAAATGTCGTCTATCCACAACTTCCTGTCCTTTCTCACTCGAAGTAGCTGTCCAAATTGTACCATAATTTTCACTCACTTTTCCATTTAATCGAAGAAGTTAAGTAGATTATACGTTGTTTTATATTCATTACATGAGGATACCAAGAATACCATGGACGAAGCATGTGTGCAGCGTGTAAGTTTTAATTCAAATGGAAACAGAATGGTCCTTATTGCTTTAAAATAGAAAGTGACAATTGGAATATTTGGCATAAACAATTCTTGAAATTTCTAGAATATTTATTGACGAAATTTTGGCAAATATGACTCTCACAAAATACACTGAAGACAACAGGGAGTGAGGAATTTCCGAGTAAATGAATTTGTGTAGATGGAAAGCAGTACAAGGACTTAGAGAAAAAAAGCAAAAAAGAGCAGCATCGATAATATCTACAACTTATAGGAATTTGTTGAAATCTGTTATCGTCAAACCTCTAAGAAATAGCCATTATAGTTCATGTTCTTTTGCTGCTTTGTATGTTCTGTGAGTGTAAAGTTTTTAGCCCTTTTCCCTAAAAAGGATATATACGTTTTTAGAACACATTTTAAGTAAAGTTCCGATGTATATATGGCATCCTTAGGTCTTGAGCCATTATCAATTGAGAGATGGTGTAGTTATGATACAAGTCTTACTATCTGATAACTAGGAGGCAGAAGATGTGGATTCATATCTTTCCCAAGGTTATTTGTACAGAAGTGTATATAAAAAACACCAAAGGGAATTGGAAATCGGCTCTCCAATTAACAATTCCGAGCCATTATACATTGAGAGACTAACAAAACTCCTTTTAACACAGAAGAGTTATGCCTCAACTGCAGATGACTACGCGGCATCTGTTATGGCCGTACAGTCCCACACGGTAGTGACAGTCTGGATTTTAACGAATGCATGCGAAGGTGCTCTCCTCCGATGTCATTTTGTTGTTTCCTTTCCGGCGAGCATGCTTCTGCCTCGGCGGCAAACCTTCGTTTCTCCTCTTTTCGCTCTAACCCTCGGTGTAAATCGCGTCTTCAGCGTGAGCAAACTTTGGCGACGTCCCATATCTTGATGTTCATGTCCATCCCCTCATGTTCCATTTGCAGGCATCCTTGAAGAGAAATGAGGTCGCCCCCGTCCCCTCTTGCTAGTGACCAGTTTTCTGTACAGAAGGACTTAAAAATCCTCCCATCTGGCATATAATGTACGTTTTGAAGCCAGGTGAGCCGTGGCTGTTGGAGAAAGGCGTATAGGATGGGTAACTGGGCTTGGGTGAATACTACGGCATTGTTGACCCCGTCGGATCAATTGATGTCCAGAATGCGCCTCAGACAGCGATGTTGAAATGCGGTAAAGCGTCTTTCCAGGCTGGAGTTGAGGCTCCCATTTTAAATGTAATCGGACAAAATGACAGGCTACGTTACTGTGAAAAATTCGTCACAAGAGAATGTAATGACTCTGTGTTTAATTTAAGTGAATGACTGCTAGCAAAATATATTAATCAGTCTACGTTTTATTTGCGTTGGAAAAACATTTTAATACGATATGTCTCCCATTATATTTCTATCAGAAGTATGTTGAGAATATCATTGACGTAGTATATGAGCATCGAGGAAATTTTAAGGAAAAAGGAACAAGAAAGTCGCTATTATTTAAAATTAGAAAGAGTCAGCTGGATCATTTGAGAGAAATAATTCTTGAGATTTCTAGGACATATACTGAGGAAAGAAAGCTGGGAAGATTTACAGGGTAAATTAAAGACAAGAGGATACTGAGGGAATCTGCAATTAAACAAACTTCTGTAAATTGATGGCAGTACAGGGACATAGAAATAATAAAATAAGCATTTATAATCTCTAGAAATGATAGGAATTTGTGGGGTGCTATTATCGTACACTTTCCAAAGGGATATGGTATACGGAAAAATAGGAAGTCCCGTCAAAATAAAAAAAAAAAAAAATCTTATCAGGTAGGGATAGTTGTTTTTTTTTGTTTTCATAGAATTAAAATTTTATGGTAATCTAAATGAATACTCAAAATATGCCTGAAATCTCCGGTTAGTTAAAAACAATTTCGTGACTTACGACCGCATCACGTTGAAACACCGGTTCGCGTCCGATCGCCGAAGTTAATCAACGTGAAACCAACTAAGTACCTAGATATGTGACCGCTTGGGGATACCAGGTTCTGTAAGCTTGGACGTACGGTTGGTATCATTTGTGTAATCTTAGAATAAATAACTGCTACTTTTAATCATATGTTGTTTTGTACTTAATTTGCGTGAACGGGAAGGTTTCCATTCGCCACTTTTCCCAATGGGAATCGGTAACTTTCAGAAATATCATTATCCTGGTCACAAAAGCATCGTCTGAAGGAAAGTTTAGACATTTTTCATATATTCTAGGCGGAAGCGCATAAGAAATAACAGTTGTTACCCAAGGGTAAGATCGTTTTACACAGTGTCTTGGTTTGTAATTGTTAATCGTAGAGCCGAATTCTAATTCCTTTTAGGTTCGTTATGTTTATTTATGCACAAATACTCTTGGGAATGTTATGAATCCACCTCTTCTCCCCCAGCAATGGGTTAATTATTAAGACTTGTATTACTAGAACCGTTATTATTATTATTATTTCCCCTAAAAATATACATAAATAAAACTGCGTACACAATATTTAGATTTCGGCATTAAATAACCCATAAAAGTGTTGATATGCTGCTAATAAAAACAACAAAAAAACAACAACAAAAAACAATGGCTGACTAAAGTAATGACGTCTTTTTATTAATTAATGCTTTCTTGCTTTTTTCGCCGATCAGAAGAAAGACTGATTTGGTGGGGGGGGGCAACTTTTACGCGCTAAATTGCACACATTTTTTTTCGCTTCGCTCATAAGTGACATCGATGAATACATCTTGGTTCCACATCTGTCTGTCAGTGATTCTTTATCTCATGCACGAAACCGTTTCGTTCCCCGCTGCAACCCTCCGTCTTCTACTTCGGGGGAGATGTCGACATGTCACGTCTCGTAATATCACTAACGCCTTATCCCTAGGGTCGGTCTTAGTCCTTAATCCTTCTAAACAATCAACGTCCAAAAGATTCGGATTCTGTTACCCTCTATCAATAATTGATCCACTCCACTACTTGGAACGTGGCCGAAAGTGTATATCTCGAGAAAGTGTATATAGGGGCCATTCTTTAATAAAGGAGATCAGAAATAGATTTGCTTGATAGAAACAACCAATGAATTTTTATTCAATGTTTGTAGACTTGTTATATAAATAGGAGTGTACATTAAAAACTACTATTAAAGTCCCACGAGGGAGATGTTATTATTAATTGTACAGTATGTTTATGAGTCTTTAAATTAGAAATTATTTGAATAATATCAATCAAACAATTAAGGTATATACTGAGATAATACAATTCACTTCATCGTTATATAAATATCGGTTGAACCTGGTAGTGTTTTCTAACACTCACTGGTCTATCAATACTTGTGTTCTAGTGGCCAAGCTTATCTACACGTTTATAGATTACAGGGTGTTCCTTCGGGCTGAAACAGACAGTATTACCACCAGTTAGGAAGAACAGATTTCCCTTCAAAGCGACACCGAGCCTTAAAAGATTACTGGCCTCCAACTCGCATCTGACTTCAAGGAGAACTCGGATATACGATCCATCGCTAAGCTTACAGGTAAAATTTTCGGCTGTCGTTACCGCTCCTATAAATATTTGACGCATCCTTTCTATCTTCTACTGTTAAAAGAGTCACCTATGGTCAAAAATGGCGTACTGATGTCATATTTACACGGGAGCTGCCCAGACTTGATTGAGTTCGAAAGTGTCTCCGAGCTCTTGTGGTTGACGAATTATTCTTTGTCCTCCAACCCTTTTCCAATAGGCAGGATGTGGCAAGTCTCAGACTGCGCTATCACTACGTCCATGGAAAGTACTTGGACGAACTACATTTCCTGGTTCCCGCAATTCAAACCATGGTAAAAATCTTTCCTCGATCACTACCGCCTTAAAATGTTCAAGCTTATGGTTTACCATTTATCTTTCACTCCTATTCACATGAATAGCCCTCTACTTTGAATCGCTCTTGGGCCTTGTAAAGTATAAACGTTACTGTAAAAAGTTTCAGCAATCTGGATTTGCAAGCCCAACCTGAGTGCACCATACTCGTGCTATGGAACCAAAAATAAGCGCACGCATTGTAAGATCCCCATTGTTTTCTAATAGTCGGTAAGCACTACTTGTAAACTAATAGTAATGATATTGATTCACACCGGGTGATCCATTGTTGCCGCATGTTATCAAATCTCATCTACGCCTAGCATAATCCTGGTGTAAACCTCAAAAAGTGAGATTTGTAAACTATTAGAAATGACTTCGATCTTCACTGAATGACTTCTTCCTTGTGTTCTTGAGCGAAATCAAAAATTGTAGGTAAATCGTTCAAAATTCATTTTTGGGTGTACTTTCCGCTTTGTCAGTCATTATTATGGGGCAGAAAGTTTGCAATATGTTCCAATATAGTTATCACTATTTACACTATGTATATTAGAACTATCGTCCTCATATTTGTTTTTATCAAAACGCTGTCGGCCGTTGGTGCCATCCGACCCTCGTCAGATGTATATTGATCTGGGTATTCTGCAGAGAATCCTGAACTGAAGTAGACCTTTATTCAATCAACGGGGGTAGATTGTTCTCGCTTCACTGGTCCTGTCTAGGGATACCTCGTATAGGTTTTGTTTTTAGTACAGTTTAGATATTCCTCGCTAGTTTCCGCTGAGTTACAAATACTATCCAACCCAGGAATTGAAGAAATATGTCACCAAATTCACGGGTCAACACCAGGTCTTCCACTAAGTCAGTGGCCCTTGGTCGGCCAGTGTGTACCTGTAATTAGTCGAAATAGGCCAGCAGTAACTGAGCTGTACTAAAAATGAAAACTAGGAAAGTGTTGTGGCCTTCTTAAGACCAGAAATAAAGACACAAGAGAGGAATTGAGTTAAACAAGTATATTAACAGAAACAGTAATACAGACATATACAGACGAGAGTGTTACAGCAAGAATATTCGATCCGACTGTGAGAGGTGAGTACTGGAAACTTGCCTCTCCAAAAGGAAGTACCTGCTCCTATTTATATCTGGGAGAGTCCATGCGTGCGTGGGTAAATTACCATAACAGAAAGATAGAACTATACTTGGGCAGTGGAACGAGAACAGTCTCTGTTGATTAAATAAAGGGTTCAGTACCGAATTCATTGTAGGTTACCTAGATCAATATACATCTGAAGGCACAACGGGCGAAACGTTGTGATAACAAACAACATTGGTGCGGAGGGGAATAGTCCGAATAGAAATAGAGTAAATAATCGCTATACTCGATTCTACTTTTCTATTGCTCGCTTTCATATCATTTTAACAATGAAAATTGCATTTCTTTTTCCAGTGTTTTTAAAGATTTAATTATATTGAATACATATAAAGAAATACATTTTTATCACGAATGTAGTCGCAACGATCTATTGTAGTAAATACGTATGAAATACAAAGATGTTAACGTCGATGTATTCTGCCTACATTAGTCGGACTATTGTCCTCATCTTTGTTGCCATATTTGTCACAACGTTTCGGCCGTTGTACGCTCCGTCCTTCTTCAGGTGGTTGGAATTTCGAACTGATGGGGGAGGCTGTTCTAGTTCCACGTGCCATGTTTGATGGATGTCAGTTATCAGTTATCTCCTGCTAATTTTCTCTCTGAAAGTTCTCCACTGCCTTAACCGGGTATTGAACTCACATTGTTTGGGTCTGTCACTGGATCTAACCAACGCCTATATCCACTGTGCCATGTGTCCTTGAGAACACATGGCACAGTGGATTCTGCCTTCTATGATAATTTTAGTCCTTTCTCCTTGCTTTCCTTTATGAATTTGTCTAGGAGTTCCCGCAAGTTTGTTTTGCAGTAAATAAACCGCATTCTTTTAATATAATTCCCTAATAAATCAAAGAGGACAATGTGGAGTAATGGATAGCGGCTGGGATTGAGGAATCGGAGAGTCAAGTTCAAATTCCAGTCGAATCCATTACATTAAACTTAAGTGCTAATACCCTTGGGAAAGGTATGAATCCTCTTCTTCTCCCCACCCAGATATGGGTAAATAGCAGGACAGACCGGGTTCTATAGCCTTGGATTGATGGCAACTACCGCAAAAAAAAAATGGCAATCTGCCTTTCAGTCATGTATCGAAAGATACATGATCGCCTAAGCGTCTATCGCGCATGGTAAATAACTGAATAAGTGAAGTATTTGTACCAGTTAAAATACGTCTGTGCATCGTTACATATTAAAGAATTTTGCACTATCTATGAAACATATCTATTTCACATTTGCATTGCCGCTCTAATAGCCATTTTACTGCCCTCTATTCGCACGAGTACATCATCACTCGAAGCCACCACGGCTTCCCCTTACGACTTTCGCATTATATCACAATTACATTATTCCAATCCTTCCCATTTGCAATTATGAAGGTTATTTGCAAGCGTAAACCCTCATCGCTTCCAAACCTACGACACTACACTCACAGCCCTGTCCATCTTAGACGTCTTCGGAACAATATAAAAACAATTCAATAATTATCCTTCCCATTCAATCTTCTCTCACCAACAGTCCATACATCTTCTTGCTCGCTCGTATCAGATTTATGTAAAGATTATATCGTTTGCATGATACATCGGCTCAGCTCTTTCTTAGCCCCGGAACGTGAGCAACAGACATTTTAATTAGATACACCTTATGTCTAATTTGCTAAGTAGAACTATTGATCGATGGAAAGTAATTTGAGTCAAGCTTCAGCCAGGTTAAGCCAGGAAGGTTTATGTGAAGATCCCTTCAAGGAACGGATTATCGCTGTTAGAGATCCCTTCAAGACATAGTAGGAGAAAGGCCGGGCGGCAAAATTGAGCTGAGTAAATGCAGTTGATTGCGATTTGAATAGAGATAAGAATATCAGAACAAAAGCTTAGAAAATGAAGATTAAAACAAAACACATCTGTCAACACTTGTGAAATAAGAGCAGGGCATAATCTGCACTGTAGCTGCAATCAGTTTGCAATGTACAAAGCTACATTGTTCAACTCTTCTCCAGCATCTCAACATCGGGAAATCATTTATACG